ATATTGTGAGACTGAGTTTTGGCAAAAATGAAGAGAGGAAATAAGTTGATAGACACATACAGTAGCTGAGTCCAGCAATTTCCTTTTAAGCATTGTTTCCTGAATTATTTGACGCATTGTTTCTGGAAACAGAGAAATAATGTGCTGCAGGAAACTCCTCATTCTAGCTAATACAAACTAAGTTATATACTGTATAGTCACATTATTATTTTAAAGGTATTCTTATGTCTTAGTTAGAATATGAATACCGTATGGTTTTAAAACCTTTTAATTTTATAAAGGATATATACATGCTTTGTTTGGGGAATAGTTCAATAAGCAGTTCCTTATAAAGGTCATATTCTTCAATTTTTTAATAGAAATATTAGAAAAATTAAATATGATTGAATAGTAAAATGAAGATTTCCACATGTTAAAAAGGAGTTGCTTACTGTTTTATACTGTTTTAATTTTTTCTGAAGTTAGTACTCTTCTTTTTAGTGAATTAAAATTATATGCAATAGCAGTTTGACAAGCTGTATGACTGAAACATTGTCTTTTTATAATTTTCCATAACTGAAGTATTTTAATATGCTTGAATAGTTGTTAAATATATCACTTAACATTTTTTTTCTGAAGCATATTTTCCATCATCCTTCAGATAATGCATATGGGAGGATAGGAAATATCTAGGTCAAAATGTCTGAAGACTTGCTGTAAGTTTCCACAATACTGACATTTCAAAAACAGTTATGTTCTTATAACCCCATCTTTAACTGAATAGGATGCTTTAAAAAAACAGAAAAAGAAATTAAATAAAGAACTGAGCTACAGGCTGCAGTGGAATGAAATAGTTTCTGATTATTAATTTGTTTTTTCCTTGTAAAAGTTTTCAGCATAAATTAGAAACAGATTTCTTTGGACTTTCTGTAATGTTGCGCTATAATATACATTGAGATAGTCTGTACCATGGATATCAGCAGAGGAAGAGAAAGTATCAAATGATACCCGATTCGAATTTTTGTACTTGCATCATGATGTCACATATAACCATATTTATGGTTACATAAATATACATTATGATATCATGATGCATATTCAATCATTCTGACCTTTCTAAGATGCTCCTGTCTGTAATACTGGAAATGAATATATGACCTTGGAGAATGATGGTCCTTTATAAACGCTTACTGAAGAAAGAGAGAGAGGATAGTTTTTACAAATAGTAATAAAAGAAAATGGATGAAGCAGCCACAGTGTACTCTTAGCAGGAACATAAGGAAGGGAGGCAAATGATCTCTTTAATTCTAGTCAAATTAATAACTTTTCAGTTCAATATAAAATAATCAGTTGAGATTTCTTGGTATCTATCCATTATTTTGTAATATATGTCACTATCCACTTTTTCACAAAGAATCGTACATGCCTCTTCAGTATATACCCTACTTCATTTTAAGACAGGAGTCTTCAAACTTGGCCCTTTTATGACTTGTGGACTTCAACTCCCAGAATTCCTCAGCCAGCTTGCCTGTTTTAAGGGAATCTTCCTCACAGGCATCAAAATATTGAGCAAAATACTTTTTACTTTTAATCAAATATAATATTTGCATTAATGGGAATTGTACTTTAATCTAATTTTCATGCTTTGGAACAAATAGAGAAGCTTTTCCAAAGGAAGAGCTGCTGTTTTGGATCACTAAGATTTTAACTAAATCCTGATTCACACATTATACGATTTTATTTTTGTGTTTGCATATTAGGCTGTCTGCTTATTACACCATTGTTCACATAGCTGATGGTATTGTGTTATACTGACTATGCTGTTGCTATTTTATAGAGGTAGAGGTGGAATAGTGCAAGGATAGCAGAGTGTCCTTGTCAGATTTCAAAGCTTAATGAAGATTTTCTGTTCCTTCAGCAAAGATCAACTGGATAAAGAACCATCATGAATGCAGCTCATGTCCTCTGAATCCACTGTGGTTGATTAAAGGCCAAAACAAATGGAACTGAGTAAACCTCACACACTGAAATGGCTAAGAAAAAAAATCTGCATGGTTTGAGTAGGAGGCTAAGAAATTCTCACAGTTTACCACCAACTGCCTTTTTTATTATTAACCTGACAGCTTATATAAGGAAAACCCTGACAGTTTGGACTCTGTATTTGTCATCCAGACACATTGCTGGATTTAGAAATCTAACAAGGATTTGTCAACTTAACTCAGATTTAATCATAAGAAAGAATAAGAAGAATTATCCCTTTGCATTTTAGAATTTCTCAGAAATGTTCAGTATCTTAAATTGTTCTGCTATTGATGTTAGTTGCCTGTCTTGGTTTAGTTCAGAGATGGGGAACTAT